ATTAAAAATAATGGGGGCCCTACTCTTTTTACTGTCAGGAAGGAGTTAAAATTCAGCCAGCAGAAAAGACAAACAGCTGAGAAGCAAGAACACTAACAACTGTAAACAATTAATAAGCTTATATGGTCACTGCCCGCCCAGTAGAACAATGCTAACCCTCTCTTCACAACCCACTGGATGTCTGTAAGCACTCATCCCTCCCCTCCCCACTATGCCTCCTTCCCCCGCAAGGTAGTCATAGATGGTTAATTCGATTAGAATGACCTCTATATGTACGAACTGTTCTTATTTTTATTTTTGTTCAGGGTTCTCTCTTGACTTGTAACAATGTCTGTCTCTGTATGTACAAATAAATTAATAAAAGAATGTATATAACTGGCCACTATGGCACCATATTTTCGAAGCTGCTTGTCAGTCTTCCCGATACTGTAAGTAAATCCCCTTCAGTATTGTCTGTGCTTGCCTGATTCTTGGGGAAAAGAATCTTTTTGCCTAACATTACTAAGTGTTATTTTTCATTTTTACATAATTAAAAAAGTCAGATTTTTTAAATGTAACTGAAGCTGGCACAGAATTAAAGTCCAGCTGATGGCGTTTTGTCTATTGTACATTTTCTAACATTTTATCCAGTATAGTTTTGTATGTGCCAAGTGATGAACCTTCTGCCACTTCTTTGAGATTATTTCATAGCCTTACAAAACTCACTGTCAAGAGTTTTCTTAATATTTATTCAATTTAAGGACTCTTCCCTAATTTCACCTGGTTACTCCTAGTTATATCCCTGTGCTCCACCTGTGAAACATGTTACCTCCCTTCTTCATACAGCTATCTGTAATTTAATGCCCTCCTGCTCTCCCCCAGTCTTCTGTCTAACCAAGGTGTATAGCTTATTTTACTCCATAAATTAATCCTTCTAGGGCCTATAATCATTCATTTTTGGTGCCCCTTTGACATTCTCTGTTACTCAATGTTATCCAGGTAGTAAAGTGCCTAGAAGTTGATAGGATAAGACCAGGCCGTACAGAGACTATTAAATCTCCATGCTGTCATTATGTTTATATAGCCCCAAGTTGCAGTGACCTTACTTTGCTGGTATATTTCAATCATGAGTCATGTCTAATTTGCTGTCCGGTATTATCCTCAAGTCTTTTTCAGCATTACTGCTTTACAGATTTTTCTCCTGTTGAATATACAGGTCTTCCAACTCTATTAACTCGCCCTTCCATTTTTCCAAGACATTGTTATTGTCTACCCAGATTGCTAATGCCTCTAGGTTCCTTCATATTATTGCTCGGCCTATCCTGATGGATGTTAACAACCTTCCTCGATTCAGTGCATCTGCAAATGTAATTTGTGTTCAACTTTACCCTGCCATCCTGATCAATAATGAAGATGGTACATAAAATGGGAGCTGCAATATACCACTACACACTCCTTGTTTCCTTGGGACAGAGATTTGGCTCTTTTACAACCCCTTCTGCTGAGCAGTAATTGTTCTTCCTCGATGTGTTTAGAAACTCTCTTTCTAGGGTAGTTCCATTATTGAACTGGGATTGAAGCCAGATTTAGTCAATGGTAACTGCCAGGATTATGCTTTTCTTTTCCACCCACTTTTGAAGGTTCAAGGAAACTGAACAGATCTTCTACTTCTGGTACCCCCCTAACCCCCACGTGCATGTGACTTTTCATAAATATTAGCAACAGTTCAATAAGTGAGTAGGTGAATGCTCTTATCTTTTAGGACAAATACATGGACTGAAACGTATAAATTCCACCACCCCATTCACTTACTGTTAAAGAAACTGCTTGTTTGCTCATGAAAGTGGCCTTCTACACTTGAAGGAAATAAAGGACAACTATATGACAAATAGGACAGTCTACAAAGTACCCCAGAATGTTCTATTTGTGGTACAAAAATAACTATCCATTGTCTGTTCCTTAGCATATTTAATGCTGAAATACAGGACAAAGGACAATCAATATTGACATATATATTAGGCATTAAAGCGAGATCTCTCTCAAATTAAGTAGGGTTTTACCAAATTCACAACCATGAAATCTGATCTCCCCCGTGAAATCTGGCTAGTGTAGCGGAGAAGCAGGTCTGGGGGCTCTTACCGTGCGCCCGACTCCAGATGCTCATCCCGGCAAGGCTGGGGAGGGATGGGACTTCCTCTTCCCCTGCAGGGGCCACTCCTAGGCCCAGATCAAACCCATCTTTGGGAACCTCTCCCAGCTGCTGGCTGGGAGCCCAGCTCTGAAGGCAGCACTGCCACCAGCAGTAGCGCAGAAGTAAGGGTGGCAATACTGCAACACCCCTACAATAGCCTTGTGACCCCCTCCAATGGCCCCTTTTGGGTCGGGACCCCTACAGTTACAACATCGTGAAATTTCAGATTTAAATACCTGAAATCATGAAATTTACGATTTAAAAAATCCTCTGACCATGAAATTGATCAAAATGGACTGTGAATTTGGTAGGGCCCTAAACACAAGTAACACCCCCAAACATTGGCTAAGTATTTGAGTTATGCTTTCACTCTTGGGGCTGGTCTACACTGGGGGCGGAATCGATCCAAGATACGCAACTTCAGCTACGTGAATAGCATAGCTGAAGTCGAAGTATCTTGGATCGAATTACCTGGGGTCCACACGGCGCGGGATCGACGGCCGCGGCTCCCCCGTCGACTGCGCTACCGCCGCTCGCTCTGGTGGAGTTCCGGACTCAACGGTGAGCGCGTTCGGGGATCGATATATCGCGTCTTAACGAGACGCGATATATCGATCCCGGATAAATCGATTGCTACCCGCCAAAGACGTACCCTTGGTCTTAAGCTTGGATTCTTCTTCTCAAAAATCTTACACTCCCTGCGCTGGAAATGAAACTGTTGTGGTGTCAACAACAGCACCCACTCCACGGGGTGTTGTGCTTTAACCATGACAGCATATCCTACTGGTGGGCTGGGGACAGAAACAAGATTGGTAAGAGCGCACATACACATACAGGATTGAAGTCATTGTGGTGTCCTGCTAAGCAGTAGCAATCCTAGATAAATGTGCAGTGGAGAATGCAACTTTTTGTAACATCAAAACATGGGGTGCTTTGCTGCCAGTCTTGCTGCAAGCAGGGTGGAAAGAGAGAGAAAGACCCCAAAGAAGTGGATATCAGTTGGGCAAAAAAAATCAGGACGACTTAATAGTAGATGAACGCCATCCTCTTAACCACCACTCCCTCCCCCGCCCAGAGAAATCAGTAAGAAATGTTGCGATTTTCCTGAATCTATGAGATGCGTGTCAACAGGTAATACAGGACCTTGTAGAAAGGCGTGATAGAAAGGCTTACCGGGGATATGACTGAGCTGCCAGTATTCCCTAATATACATAACCCAAGTTTTCAAACCTGAAAACAAGATTTTCAAAAACAGGGACCTGGCTTTAGGCTCCTAAATCTATATTCAGGCAAGTAAGTGGCAACTACTGAGAACCAAATAGCTCCCACTAAGCTCAGCTAGAGGTTGATCGGGCCCCAGTACAATAAAGGGAAATTTAAATTAAGTGGTTTTCAACTGCATTTGGAATTTTAGAAGACTAACATTTTTAAACAGTTACCACAGCCATCCTATATTTGCTCACAAAGACACCCGAAAGGGTTGGTTAAGAGTTTAACTCTCTTTGTCATTCCAGCCTAAGACCCTGCCTTTGGAAGAGTAAAAATAATATTTTTCTTTCGTGAAAAAGGGTCTTTCCCCCATTTTTAGAAGGGCAAATGATTACATAATTCACTCCATCTTGAACACAGAAGTATAGTTCTTCAGCAGAAGCTCCAGAAGGACAAACAAAATCCACACGCAGTTTACTAAAAGGCCTCCCTTATACCACGTAATAAAATTTACAGCACAGCATGCAAATGCATTAATAATTTATTCACTGTACAGTCCGCATCCATGACAATAGTGCAACAAAACTAGCATTTGAATGAGTTCCAGCAGTTAACTGTTTCAAAGTGAAAATGCACAAAAATGTTTTCAGTAAACAATAGAGTTTTGCTGTTAGTAGTGTCAGTATTAAGTTTTCAAAGCTTTATCATGCTACAATAATTAATTCCAGCACTGTGTCTAAAGTCAATTGAACTTTAGCATCTTACTTCCATTTCAGAAATGTAATGTCATCTACTTTTAGTTCTTAATGCCATCTGAGAAGCCAAGCAGTAAAAATAGTTTATGAATTATGCCTTTTTTAATAGGCAAACTGATTAAACATGTATAATGATAAATTGGTGACACATTAAAATGATCTCTGTATCATTGGGTTAAGTCAGCATAATTCTAACAATAGTTTTCCTGATGAGACGCTGGCAGAAGGAAGCCCAATAGCATGAGACATTTTGCAGGGACTCTACAAAAGTGTATTATGTTTTTATTTTTAAGATTGACTTGAAAAAAATTTTTTTTTTAAAGATAAACTTTAATTTGTGAGAGTAATTATGCATGTAATAAGGTAACTATGCATGCACACAGTAAGTAATGGTCATTCACATGTATAATCTTATTTTCATATGAAATTGTAGTAACTGCACATATGTATTAAGTACACAATGGCATACCTTACTTTTTTCCTATTAGAAGTCCTAAATATTTAGCTTGTAAAATACATTTTCCTATAAGAAAATGACAATCACATTTTGGACATTAGCTATTTGACAGTATCCCTTTTAAGGTCAGAAGAAAGGATATTTTAGAAAAGTCTATTATTCTGAAGTGTTGTGTCTTATGTCTCAACTAATGAAACTGAGTTTGAAAATGAGTAGTTCACAGAGCAAACCCATCCTATAAAAAAAAGTTATAACAAGGGCTTAAGTAGTAAAGCAACAATGGCTTTGCCTAGATTCCCAGTTACTAACATAGTCCTTTGGCAAGGAATCTCTAATCATGGAATATCATTAACACACTACATTTACAGAAGCAGATTCCTGACTTTTTTTTTGGGGGAGGGGGGGGGGGGGGGGGGGGGGAGGAGGAGAAAGGAAAGGGGAGAAGACAGATAGATAGCAGCACGCAATGCAGATGCATCACTTAGCACAGTACACCATGTAGCACATTGGCAAAACCTGAAAAGCTTCTGGGGAATCTGAAAACTACATCCAACAGCTCAGATTATTCAAGTAAGAAATGCTCTGAAAGCAGGTAAAGTACATTTCCCAACTTCCTGCTGTTCTTTATCTTCTGTATGCAAAGCAAAACAAGTGGACTGAGAGGTGAGTGTGTTGGTGTGGATGAGGGAGATTAGCATCTCACTGAACCAGAGTTTGTTTTTCCATCAACACTGTTATTCCTATTAGCTAACAGCCACATTGATTCCTGAATGAAGTTATGCTGAACATATGACAAAGGTAACATGAAAAGAAAGTGTATCTTGAAGTTTGGCTATATTCCAGGGGTTATTTCCAAAAAGAACAGAGGCACAGGTGGTCTAGTGTTTTAATGTGGCCTTTGTTTTTATTCATAAAAAAACAGGAGCAGATTATAAAAAGAAAGGTTGGCAATGGCTGTGCAAGTGTAAAACCTAATTTTCCTGTTTTGTTTTCTGAAAGAGCTCTATTACGTTGGATCATTAAGCACTGAAATGCATGATGGTTCAACATAGTCAGTGACAGAAAATCCTGGTTGGCACTTATACACGCAAAACAGCTTAAATAATGACCCTGTTTTAAAAGCAGCATTCTTCAGATCAGTTTGGCTTTACAATCCACTAAAAGGCAGCACTCTGGCTCCCAAGGATAATGCTGTACAGTACTCCTTCATCTTTAGTTTCTTTTTAATATCCTTTTAAATGCATCATATAAAGTAGCAAAAAAGCTTCTGGTGAAGTTGGAATGGGATGGGGAGCAGGGAAGGTGTTTTTCACACCAGCCCCACACATAGGAAAGAAGACAGAACAAAAAAAGAGTTAAAACTGTCCTTCCAGTTTCTGTTTCACAAAAGGCAGTGCCCTCCATAATGGAGAGGACAAGAAGTATGGTTTTCCATGACAACACTGGGAAATACTGATAACAGGATAAGGAGGGACACAAAATTGAAGAGAAATGGTGGGGAAGCTGTATGATCTCTCTAAAGAGTCAATACAAAAGCCTCCCTTTAAATCAGTTTAAGCCAGAACTGTGGCAAAGTTTACACAACAAACCCAAAATATCATAAAAACTACTGAAATATTTACTTTCACTGTAAACAACAAAAAAGGCTCTTTTGAAGTGTGCTTCCCTAACTGAAGTGACTTTCCCTCGAATACTCCCTCCCCATTTCGACTGGATTGTAGTGTAACTTGCTTTCAGTCACTGCATTCGAGTGCAAGACTGTGCTTATCAAAAAGGGAAAAATGGTGTTTACATTACTAGCTTTCTTTCAGCAGCATACAGGATCTTTAAAATGTCATTAGTACATCACGTTCTTGTACACTAGTGTAGAAGGGTCTCCCAAAGATAAAGGAATGTAGACCAGGTTTGATCTTCTCAGCTAAAGCCATTATTATGTTAAGATCGCCCTCTGCTGTTAAGTCAAGGTCTATTTTTAAGCTACGGAGAGACTTAAAAGGCTTTTTTCCTTTCTGCCTGCAAGAGTAAAGAGAAAAACTGTTACAACATAGAAAGATTTCCTAGTGAACAAGAAATCCCCACCCCCTCCCTTCTATTATCTTTTTACTTACGTATCATCCTCTATGTACTTTATAAGAGTTAAGGCTTTTCTATGAAGGACTAGCAGAAACTGGGCAAGGAAAGTACTCCTCAGAGACAAGCCAGGTTTCAAATGAAAGACCTGTTAAAAATTACAGCAGAAAACTAAATTACATGCAACTCAAGTTTCATTCCAGGAATGTGGAAAACTAAAACATTGAACTAACATATATGTAACAGTTCCTAATTGTGCTAAAGCAAATGTATAATCATGAAAGGATACATTTTGGACAGATGTGATAAGCTGTTCTGCCATTCTATTAAGACAAATCATGTTTTTGCTCTTTTTTTTACATTACTTGAAATGGATCAGACTTGAGTGATTATACAATGCTGCAAGTTCAAGCAGTATTATACAGCAATAGGGGGTGTGCCTTGTTCTTCACAACTGTGTCTAGTATTTTCAGTGTTACATAGTACTGCAAATTAAGCTTGCAATGTTTAACGGCCATCTATTTGTATTACACGGTTACATAGGCAGTGTTGTTGTAGCTGTGTTGGTCCCACTTTGTTTCTATTACACAGTCAGACATTTTAAACCAACACCAATTTCTAATCCTACACGTGGTTGGGTAACAATCCCATGCTGAAAGGTACTGTCCTAGGCTGAGTGCACCTGGGATTCTACCCCCCCTCCCCCCGCACACACATATTTTCACCCCCCAATAGTCATTCCTGGATGCAGCCCCTCCAGTAAAGTACTTTTCAGGAAAAGACCACAGCTCAACAAGAATGGCATGTTGGCACTGTACATACTCAGTATTATATTACTTTTTGATTATTATAGTCATAGAATGACAGATATTTTACAGGAACCTGTAATTAGCAGGTCATAACATTTCTGCACATGTTCAGAGGAATCTCTCTTGTACTACTATTGTTGTGTTTTCAAATAATGCAGGGAAGGATCTATTTGTGTTAAAAAATTTGTTATATGAGAGTAGAGAATTGTTTTTCATCTTTTGCTCATTCTGAAAGAACAGCTATTACCTGCTCCAGGAAGGCTTTTACTAATGTATCACGATGCAGGACATCTTGAAAAACATTCCTGTGAAGAGACAACAAAGAAAGCCTGACATAATGTGATAAGGAGGCACTAAATATATTATATTGGTGCCTGGTAATAGCATTATAGTTAAGGGTCTGACAGAATTTAAAACAAATTAAAAAAAAGTCAGTTTTAGTGAATTATGATATGGGCTTTATTTTAAAAACGTTACTATAGAATATGAAACCGAACTTTTTCAGCCCAGATGCACTTAACAATAACCAGGTAAGCCAATGTCAGCTGTAAATGTACTTAGCTATATAGCATACTTATTTATTATTATTCAACCATATCAGATTGGATGGAATGTTATCAGGAATTTCATTGGGATGGAGTGCTAATGAAATACTGAGCAACAGGTACTCCTTCTGAAGTGTTTTTAACCTCCTATAACCCAATTCCCCAAGAAGAAAACACAGGCTGTTTATCCTGATTGAGGAAAGCACTTGCTGAATAAAACAGAACTGCATTTTATAAGAAAAGGTCTGACAAAATGCAACTACACTGTTATGCTGTCCTAAGCAGTATAATTTTGGAAGTATAAGGATAGTACATACAAATCAGGAGTGAAGCTTTCATCTGTATGAATAGTGATATCCTGAGCCATCTCTTCATCTGAATTGGCTCTCCAAAATGCTGCCAGCTCGGACCTCATGTATCGCCGTTGATTATAGATATGTTCATGGCAAGGGGGCATCTGCTTCACTGTGTTGACATCCACATCTATATGTGTAGTAGGATATGGAGCATACATTACTTGACGGAAGGGCAACACAAAGCTTCCAGTTGCATCCTGTTACAGCAAAAAAGAGTTAGAGAAGTCTCCCAGTTACAAAAAAATACCGGTATTTGAAACAACATTAAAGCACCAGTCTTAAGTTTAAAACAACGTGTTTAAATGCATTTCATTTTTGAGGTGTGTGTGTTTATAATTCTAGTTAAACCCTGTTGTAAAACTGGGTGGTTGTTTAAAGTAACAGTATACACATAAAATATCAATTTTTGGAGGGGGTGTTGGAAAATAGTGATGTGCACATCACTGCATTGTTTCATGACAGTCTTGTTGCTGGTAACACCCTTCCAGCAACTCCCTCGCACCAAATGGCACACCGTTCTCATGCTGCATGATGCTTGACATTAAAGTGAGTTACAAAGCCGTATGCGAAAGGAGAACAGCAACATTACAGCCATGAATGCAGCTTTAAATGAGCAAATACCCTACCAAGTGAATTGAACAGAGGTCATGAGAGAATACCATAGAGCATTATACAATATTTATCATGCAGGAAGCATGACAGCATTTAACTTTAGCCTTCTAAATTTGAGAAGTTTGAGCATGCACAAGTTTTTTTTCTTAAAAATATTTTCAGTGCTGAGAACATAATTTATCTTCACTCCTTGTAGAAAAGCTTTAGAAATTCTCTCAACACGTAAGTAGGTAGCGTACATAATCAGCATTTGAAGTTAGGAACCCTCCACCCAAGTGCACACTTGCTACTGAGAACAAAGAACTACTTAGTCTACCTAGTTAGGAGGCAAACAGATTGAGCTTTTATTTGGTTTTGATAAAAGGCATTGTTTCCCCTCCCCCCCCCCAACGATATTGGTACTACTAGGTAAATACAATAAAAGTTAAATGTAAAAATGTGGCTCCCTTGGGTCCCTACTCCTCTCCAACAGAAGTCAGAGTGGGCAGGCAGGGACAGAACATTGGCTCCATCTTCCGAATGTGTTGGCCAGCACAGGTTCCACAATCTGTCCCTCAACGTCATATCATTTAGCTATAGTTTATCATCATCTGTCAAATTTAGTCTGAAAGCTCCTTGGAACAGGGGCCTTGTAATATTATTTGCCTATGAAGCACCATCCACTCCTACAGCCCTTTGTAAATATTTTGAAACTATTTTTCATAGTATGCTGGAGTGCTGGAGACTAACATTCTTTTCTCTGAGTCGGATTTAGCTAGCATATGCAAATTTTAAACGCTTGCCTGTATGGGTCTAGGATCCCCCAAAAGTAGCAAATCTATAGATTTATTCCCAAAGTGAAGGAACAATGACAAAAAACTATTCCTAAAGGGAATGGACAGTACAGAGGAAAAATTAGCTTGAAATTTTTGCATCCCTAGAAACAGCTTTAAGCCATGGAATATAGGTAATAATGTATTACTTGTATTACCATAGCACCTAGGAGCTCTAGTCATAGACTAGGACCTCATTGTGCTATGAACTGTACAAACATCAAAGAAAAAAGGATAGTCCCTGCCCCACAATGCTCACGCTCTAAGTATAAGACAAGACGCAACAGATGGATACAGACATATAGGAGAGAAGTCATGGTTATAATACTGGCATCAGGAATCAACAAGTGAAGAGGAAAAACTTCTTAAGACAACAATATATTTAGGTATTTTCAAGTTAAGATGATTATATTAAGAAATTGTAGGTTTCTGGATACTGGAGAAAAGAATTTAGAAAAAAAAAATCAAAAGTCACAATAAAATTGCCTTACCTTAAGCAATCCTTGAACAAAGAGTCCTGATTCATATTTGAAGGAAGATTCATTTCTACAGAGTCTGGAACACTTCCGTTCTGATGGAGTAAGAAACAGACACAATGTCCTCACTATCTGCAATACAAAAAGCTTTGTAAAAAATAGGCAGATGTATAGTAAAGAAAGTTTTGAACTTAGAACATAATACAGTACAGATTTCAAATAAGTGATTATCCAAGAAGTTCACTACACATTAGAAAAAAGAATGCTACAATAATGTCAAATAGTTACATACTGACATCTAAAAGTAGAGGTATTAAAATTAAACCACACTCCTCAAGACTACATATTAAATGAAAATAACACAGAACAAATATTAAACGGAACATCTAAGGTGGCATAGTTTAATTGTTTAGAGTCAAGAAACACAGAAATTTAGGTTACCACGGCAACATTAGCTTTGTTCATGTTGTACATCCAGTATAATTTTTATGATATGCTTTAATAAGTGTTCTAAATGCTCTTACTCAGAAGATGAGAAAAAGCATGGTCCATGCTGCAAGGAAACATTCAGTGGAAATAGATAATGAGCAGTTGAATGACAATGAAATAGAGTAGGAAATCAATAATTTGAGTTGTTCAGCAAATGTCTTGCTCAAAAGATGCTCTTGCTGTAGGAACTTTGACAGCTAATACTTATGTCAGAAAATGCAAAAACCTGCTTTAATGATGCAGTGATAGGTGTTTTTGCATTTTCAGAAAGACTAATAAAAAAAATCACTAAAGCAGACTTCCTGAAGGCATAAGTATATGTTTATTTTAAGCACTCCATCTAGCTGCACCATTAACAGAAACATAGTTCGAGGAGAGAGTATTTAGAAGCGCTGCTGTAGTTGTTACACAATATGCTCTTAACCTGTTTTCAGACATGCATTTCCCCAGCTTCTTTTCTTTTTAAAAAAAATACTGTGTATGCACAGCATGCAATTAAGATGCCCATAATTTTTTCCACTAATTTAGACTTCTTTTGCCACAATAATGCACATTTCATGATATACGTACATTCTCCTGCTTCTACAACCCCAAATATTCAGCAGCTTTTGTCTGAGCGCTCAATCATTTTATTTTTTCCTCTCTTTAATCTACTTCTCATTGATCTGATCAGAGATGCTCTAAGTATTAAGCGGAAAAAAAGAGCAACAGCTCTTTACTAATTAGTTATTTTAAGTATCGTGTTTAGAATACATACGTATTTTATCTGAACAATTTACATATAGATTATTATTTAATATTCCAGTATTGCCTAGGACTCCCAGTCATGGAGCAGGACTCTATTGTGCTAGGCACTGTACAAACTAATAAGATGACTCTACCAGCCCCAAAGCTTACTATAACCATGTCCTCTTGTTGTAAGCCTATTATATTAATATTAGTGAGTATTATACACACCCACTTAAGAGACTGACTCCCAGAACTAAAAAGAAGTCTTACAATGAAGGAAAGTTCAATCTTGTAAAATAAACTGGAACTCAATAAGAGGCGTACCATTAATTCGAAGCATAATCAAATAAAAAGACTGCATATGGGTTTCTTACATATAAATGGAGTTCTACAGAGCCACACTGCAGTGTCATGCCATAGCTTCATGAGACAAACAGTAGTAGTAGTAGTAGTAGTAGTAGTAAGTATTTACATTACTGTCGAACCCAGAGGCCCCAATACAGATTGAAACCCTATTGTGCTGGGTGCTGTACAGACAGACAAAAGACAACCCCGGCTCTAATAGCAGTGGTACAGGTTGCAGTCATTAATGGCACATCTGCCTCACACCTAAATGTTCTAGGACTACATGTTACTACAAAGTCCTTCTCAGCTCCTCTCTGACTTAAAGGTGCATATTAAAGGCCCCCCTTTTGGCGGAAGGACAGAGAGGCAATTCATCTGGAAAATTCAATTTACTGATAAAGATAGCTTTATTTTCTCCATCATGAGTTGCCTCTGCAATTCTCACTGTAGGAGATTAACTAGCAGTATTCACACTACAGGGGGTGGGACTGAAGAATGGCTTAATTAAATAGGAATCAAAGGACAGTCCTTCTGACCCAAGCATCTGATATATCCCAGATGAATGTAAGAATAATGTTTTGTGAAAGTGTGAATTCAACTCCCAGCATCAACCTGCTATTTTAAGAGACACCTTTCTAATAGAGACACAAAGTGAGTAAATTAATATCTTTTATTGGATCAACTTCTGTTGGTGAACATGACAAGCTTTCGAGCTACACGAAATTCTCCTTCAGGTCTGGACGCCTTTGTGTAGCTCCAAAGCTTGTCTCTTTCACCAACAGAAGTTGGTCCAATAAATGATATTACCTCTCCCCCCTTCCCTCTCTAATATACTGGGACCAACACTGCCACATCATCATGCCAATAACCTTTCTAATAGGGACTCTCAACACATTTAAAACTGGCACATCTGCATAACTGTAACCAATTTGTACATACAAATCCATTCAGAAAGCCTCAGAGTTAAAAGGGCTTCCTCCATTTCATTTTTCCAAACACAGCTGAACAGGTTTTCTAAAAGTATTATTCTTTTAAATATGTAGATATGCAGGGTGGTTTTGATTTAAATCATTAATCAGGAAGACTCGATTTAATCATGGTTTTCTACATAAAAGTGCATTCTTGTTGGTTGTTATAACCTTAATACACATTTTTCACAACTCAGAGATAGATGTAGGTTTCATTTTTAGAAGGTACACACTATACATTTTTAAACAGTGATTTAGTTTGAAAACTTTTTTAGTTTTACAGCTATATCAGAAAATGAATGAGTGTTTGGTTATTTAATTTACCAAAGGTAATTGAAGCAGATATTTATGAAGTCATTGGGAGATGAACTATCTCCAATTCAACAGGTTAAACATTAATATTTGGAGGATTTTCTTGCCATGCTGTATTAGAAGGAGAACATCACCAGACAAACATTTAAATTGTTTTAACTAAAACAACAACGTTAAGTATTCTGGATTTTTTTCTTCAACAGCAAACATATAATATTTAAAAAAAAACAAGCATATGTCCCTTGCTTCTCATATTTATTTCCAGACTTCTTCTCCTTGTCTGGATCTATTACGCCTCCAACAATCTTCTATTCATTGAACTTTTTGAAACTTTGCACTTTTAGAGAGAGGTAAGGGATTGACTCTGTGTACAAAAATTGGCAGCGGGACAACAGAGTTGAGGTCTGTTATTTCTCACCTGTATATATTATTTATTTATTTAATAACATTTTTGCTGTTAACAAGCATGTTACCTCTAAAGACACAAATCCAGTTTGAGAACTGCAAAACTAAGCATCTCTGACGGTATCTTCGAGACTAAGCACTGAGTCCCATTGGGTAGATAGAAAAATTAACCTAAATAATCTATACAGAAGCCTCTGAACCCCGTAAGATTGAGTCCTTAATCCATGAACTATTGGAACTCATTTACAAAACCTCTCTTAAACATTACATGAATATATTGTCTCATACTACAGAATTAGAATTTATAATTCCTATTCCATGATGAGATATCTTTGACCTATAATGTATCTTAATTAAAACTATCTTTAGATAGGTTTCTTCCTCAAAAAGTATTTTATCAAAAAAAATCCAATTGAAATAAAACAAATCCGATTTTTTTTTAAATCATGGATTTTTATCCACCCTGTAGCTGTATAATCACCTGACAAGTTAGTAGGCTTAGGAAGAAACAGTTACTTACTGTAACTATGGTTCTTCTAGATGTGGTGCAGACATGTATTCCATTTAGGTGCGCATGTGCCCAGCCCACCAGAACTGGATAAATGTGCCTAGCAGTACTTGTAGAGAGGTGGTATTGGTGCCTCATGGCTGTAGACCCTCCCCCGGCTACATGAGGTGGTACCACCCCAACCCTCCCTCCGTTCCTTTGCACCTGTCTTTTTTTCAAAAAGTGGTAGGTGTGGGGAGAAGGTAGTTTGCCATAGGAGTCTGCAACCAGTTATTCTTCTGATTAATGGTAGCACCACTGAGAAGGCTGTCTTCAGAGAGAAAGCATAAAGAGCATTATCCTGATATTCCTGGCCTTCTGCCTTAGTCCTCTTCCGTTAAGAAGGCATTCAGCCACTGCTTCCTATACTTTCTGATCGTGGAGGTGTAGGTAGCATAAAGCAAGCATCCTTTTGATAAGTTAGTTCCACAGACACTCCAGACAGCAAACATGCCAATCTACCAACGGACATCTTGCTATTGCAGGACTCAAATTTTATAAGTTTGCACCTGCACTTTGGATCTTTCATGTCTCCACTGAAACCCAGAACCTAACTGAGTTTACTGACCAAGTCACTAACATAATTCAGTTAGTACTGTTTTATTTTTTACATTAAAATATTTAAAATGTATCATTTATTTATGACTAAGGCTATGAGGATCATGGGGAAACTGCAGCACAGAACAGAAGTGCAAGGAGAAATCAAAGAACTGAGGGTGGGGACTTAGAAAATTTGCATCTTACATATGCATGAGTGACTCATAATAGTTTGGTGCTCATTAGATATTGTGTAAAGGCAATTTGTGATCCAGAAGCACAGCAAGTTTTACTCTGCAGTTGGGTATTCAATATGATAAAATTATGCATAGATTCGTTTATTTAGATAATATCCATTGCAATAGCTGAAGAGCTAAATGTTAATCCAGATGCCATCAGTTTATGCATATGGCTAATAAAAAAAATCTAATCCTAAAAACTATAGCCTCATTTTCCATAATTTCATATGCACAATAAAATAAATTAGTTGCTAAGAACTGTCAGAATACAAATGATAAATTATTTTTCATACTCAATTGCCAACCAACCATACAAATAAAAAAGTTCAATAGCAGTACAGTGCTGCTCCTGCCACATCAAATATATTTCTGGGAAATATAACATTTAACTGAATAATATTTTACTTTTCATTAATTGCCACTTTTACATTACTGCAGATAATCTGCTGACAGGCCAAATACAATAATCAGAATCCAATTTTGAGAATTATAAAATGCATTTACCTTATTAACTTTCTCTGCACTGCTACCTATAACCACAGAGCAACCACAAGTCTGCAGGTGTGAACTTATGGCACTGCAAATTAAAATGAAATACAGATTAATAAATACAACAGACTACTCCAAAACAAGTGCTTCAACATAATTCTATATGCAGAAATGAAAAACAAAACAAAAAGAAGCAGGCTTCAAACAGACTTTTCTTTACTTACATTACTAAACCTTTGGATTTTCATAACGTCTAGATTTTAGTATGATTCATTTAAGAAATAGGAATCTGTTTTTTTAATTACTACTATGAAGCCATCCTGGCTGAACTGAATTAAGTTACTGGAAGGCTAACTTAATTATGGGTTTAGTGTTTAAGAGTATAAGGTAATTTATTTAAGATAAGCAAAAGTAAAACTATACCTTCAAATTAAGGGAACTTGAATTATACAGTGATTAAATAGCTTTCATTGGTAAAAGAACACAGGCACTACAGTAAGGTTCTGAGTCTTGCTTCTTTCAATTACTAAACACATCAGGGCCTTGATCCCACAAGCATCTGCTACCACATATCTCAGTACAAAAAACCAACACCACTTCAGGATCTAAGGTAGTACACAACACTGAAGAGTTCTTTGTATGTATGAATATACTTCTGCAGTTGCATTTTGGAGTTCCACAAGGACGCATGACTGTGCTTAATTTTCACGGTCAGAATTATTATAGTCACTTTGTCAAGTCCAATTTTTATTCAATGAACAAAAAACTCAAAATATATACTGAAGCCATGATAAGTTTAAAATTTTAATCTGGCAAAAGCCAGGAAGCTCCCCTATTCCTCAAGGGCATAACTGTGAGTAGTGCAGCACAAGATGCTCAGCTGAACAGGCTATATGCAATGTGTAGCTCTGGGGAATATACCATGTTGGTTTACTGAATCAGTTATAATGCAGCTATTTAGTAATGAGAATATACAGTGACCAAGTGCTATTCTCTGTACCTATATCTTAATCAAAAACAAAAGAGCGAGGTCCTGTTATTTGTTGTATCAGAGCCATACTAATAGAATGCTGCATTAACACAGGACCAATTTCTTTTGATGTCTCTTGGTGGAAAGCAATTCACCTACAATAAACCATGTAGGATATGCTCTCAACGTAAAATCATGACTGGTGTGAAGAAAGTAAATAAGGAAGTATTATTTACTCCTTCTCATAACACAAGAACTAGGGGGTCACCAAATGAAATTAATAGGCATCAGGTTTAAAATAAACAAAAGGAAGTATTTCTTCACACAACGCACACAAGAGCTGTGGAACTCTTTGCCAGAGGATGTTGTGCAGGCCAAGACTATAACAGGGTTAAAAAAAACTAGATAAATTCATGGAGGATAGGTCCATCAATGGCTATTAGCCAGGATGGGCAGGGATGATGTCCCAAGCCTCTGTTTGCCAGAAACTGGGAATGGGTGACAGGGGATGGATCACTTGATGATTACCTGTTCTGTTCATTCCCTCTGAGGCACCTGGCATTGGCCACTATCGGAGGACAAGACACTGGGCTAGATGGACCTTTGTCTGACCCAGTATGGCCATTCTTATATTTTTCTAAAAGCTAACTTGCCTCAGGATTGAAAACCTACATAAATCCTTGCAACAAAGTGCTTTATGAACACTAAATGCTATGAAACTGCTAGGTATATGAACACAGTCACTATTTGATTTGTGTAGTGGGTGTTTGGTACTGTACAACACAGTGACGGTTCTATGAGCTAGGGACTATCTAAATTCACCAGGCAATTACACAGAGATGTTTTGAGGAATGACAGAAGATCAATAAACACCCCCATTAAAGATGGGAGTGTGTTATGTGATTTCCTAACACAAGAGACATTTGTGTACTGATTTACTAATGGTTAACTATTTTTATGTTAAAGAAAATGGAAGAATTAAACATTCTGAGTACAGAAGAATGTGCATGACATTTATGGATTTGTCATTCTTTATCTGTGACTTTAACCCATGACTTTTCCTAAACTTCCTATGACATAACCACTACCTGACTTACTGTGTTAAGAAACTCAAAACCCTTTGTCTATGTCCCGTCTGAATACTTTTATCGCTTAGGCAGACATATAAAGAAGCGATACGAGCGCTAACGTCGCCTCACCCCAAATTAACTCTTAACCACCAATACAACTAGACTTTGAAAAATTGGATTTTTAAAAAACTATTTTGACATATACTGATGTTTATTTTTAACCATTTTTTCTATTTAAATTTTCACATTGGTGGGAAATTATGGGGAGAGGGGTTTCAGACAATTATTTAATGACAAAAGATATTGAGATTCAAAAAGTTAAAGCTTTGTAACTGGTAAAACACAAATTGTCAACATTTCATGTCAAAATATACAAAGCAAATATCAAATCAAATGCTTGCAAGCTCTGAAGCAGCATTTTTCTTACTTGCCTATCTGTAACTTTGATTATCATTGATAGACAGATTTTTTTGTTGCTTTGTGCATATCTGGAGAAATCAACATTTACCAATAAAAATCTAATCCTTCCAAGCCTAAAAACAACCAATTAAGAGACACTGGCATCATTTACTTTTAAAGTGGTTTCACAACAGCATAAAACAGAGAACAAGACCGTACTTGAGGAGAAAACCTTCATGGCAACTGTCCCCAATGTCATCATCATTTAACACTGTGTCACTTATCTGGAGTGCAAAGGAACAGAAAGAAGGGTTAGATGACGTGGTGTAACAAGCCACATTAAAAACATTTTATTTTGGATTTTTAAGGATATGTGGTGATAGCTTAAGTGACTCCTAGACAATCTCAGGGCTGGTCTACACTTACCCCCCAAATCGAAGTAAGGTACGCAAATTCAGCTACGTGAATAACGTAGCTGAATTCGACATACCTTACTTCGACCTTACCGCGGTTCAGACGCGGTCCACACGCGGCAGGCAGGCTCCCCGTCGACTTCGCGGTACTCCTCTCGCTGAGCTGGAGTACCGCAGTCGACGGGGATCACTTCCTGGTTCGATTTATCGCGTCCAGACCAGACGCGATAAATCGAACTCGGAACTTCGATCCGCAGCCGTCGAACTAACCGGTAAGTGTAGACTAGCCCTCAGTTTCACAATTGTGAGGAATCAAGCATGTTTAAGACTCACAAAAATACAGCTCTTCCTGTTTTAAACCGTTAACCTCTGAGGGAGGTTAACAGATATTAAGAGACAGAAAAGAGTAATTATATCATCTAATCCATTTTCCCCCAGCTCAACCACCACTGATATCGTTCCCAAGAGTATATTTTTAGTGCTTCAATCAAAATATTTTAAACTGGCCCAAGTGATGGTGTTTCCTCTCCTGTCCAGGGAAGGATTATTCCACATTCTAATAGATCTCACCATTAAAACTCTTTCCCCTAATATTAATTTTATTTGATGACATCCTTTCCTTTCCCTTTTTAAAAAGCATAATACAGTTGACAGCCAATTTTGCTAAGTGTTGATCAAAAATTATTGCTACTGCTCAGATATTTATGAGAAACTGCTATTAGCAAAAATACCATTTAGGAGAGTTTCCTGTGCCAAACAGTTAAAGAGAATCATGATTTATGGTATCAATTATTTATTTTACCAAAGGCAACATTAATAAGAGTGGCATAGTTGCTTCCTTTTCAAAACGCAGCAAACATAAGGACTTACATTTATTTCTTCCGGAACACTGTGTGATTTCATAGATGAAAGAAGTTCCATTACAGGAATAACTTCTCCCGTCAGCATTGGAATGATGCTTTGGCCCTGTGCAATAAATAACATGTTGTGAAATAAAAGCATAGCATGCAGTATAGAAAGCTACTAGTAACAGAAATTTTTAACACTAAAGACAGAATAATTTTAGCTTCTTTATTTTTTGGTGGGGAGGGCGGCAAGACCACAAGACTAGAAGGGAGCAGGAAATTGATACATATGTTTTTCATATATACATACGTTTTTCAGTTTTGCTCATCAAAAATAGCCAACTGGAAATAAGCAGCTGACCCAGTAACAAGAATGTTTATAATTAGTTTCAAGGCTTTTATTCTAAATACCCAATCAATTTGGCTTGACTTGGACAGGATAGATCTAGAGGTAGGTGACTGTATCATAGTGTATTAGATGTAATTATCAGTAAATATTATATTTCTAAAAGTACATGTTTTGGAGACAAGGAGACAAACAGATAGAGGCTCATTAGCTAGATTAGCATCGGAATCAAATGATGAGTTCTCTGATTTTATACTTTGCAACAAGCTCTAGGGTTGTGCTTTCACATGTATTGCTTCAGAAACCAAATTCTCTTTGTAATCTCAGCCATGAAGTCTATAATGACTTCTCTCTTGGACAGTTACAAGATAATAGTTACCAAGCATCAGTTCTCTGATCCAGCTGACTAATGACCTAGTAAAAACCTACCCATGAGTAAACAAGGGTAGAAGAGTATAAATGTAAGGAAGCTGCTACCTTTGGAGAACATCATGTTCGAGTAAGTGGCCTCCCCATTTCTGAAAGGTAATATTCTTCACAGAGTTCCACTTTACCCATAAAGCGACGGGATATAATTTCCTTCAATTTGGTCATAGCTTCCACCATCTTATCTTCACAAAGACTGCCTCCTGTGCATGGCAGCTCACTCTGCTAGTCCAAAAATATCTTCCTGGATCCCAAAAATAAACAGCAGTACCGACTTCTACAGTCACCAGTTCCAGTAATAGCTTTCTGATGGTATGCCATATGCAGTCAGTCAGTCACTCTTACCTGATCCTCCATTCTCTCCGTGCTTTCCAAGACAATCTTCTGGAAATGTTCTTGCCTCTCCTGAGCAAGAGAAGCAGTTAATTTTCACACAAGTTATAAAAGCTCCAGTATTTGGCTATAAAATTATGCACCCATCAGTCAACTGGTAAATGTTCTTCCCTGTAGAATCACACTTCTTTGATTCACATTTTGATGTTCAAGGCATTTTCCTTTATAGAGCTATTTTGTGGCAAATACTACCCCCCCATCACCCGCCCTCCCCATAAACCTCTAACTTGTGGGGGGGGGGACGGGGAGGAGGAGGGAAGCTGAAATAAAACAAAAATATCCTTCACTCTCTGATCACGAAAATACCAGATGGATCGGTCTCAGGGGAAATAAAGATGCTAAATTCAGCTATGCTGATTTTTACTTATTTTTTTCACTGCAAAAGGAGTAAGTTGTTCCAGCTTAACAAAACAAGGGAAAAATGCAATCTTCAGGAAGAGGAAACTTATTTGCTTTTGGGAAGGGGATTTGTTCCATATCTTGAGATACTGGCAGATCTTCAATACATTAACTGTTCTAGAACTAAATATTGCAGACATCCATGGAAACGTCAAGGTACTTCACCACAGGATACACAAGAGGTCACACCAAAAATTCAGCGAGAACTTTGGCAGCGTCAAGTCATCAGAACCTCAGTAGTGAATGATGATGATGAACGTAATCATTTACAACAATTCAGCATAATATGCTATGAAAACTTGGCCCTAATGAATGGCATAGTCAGAACAACATTATAGGCAATGAATATTTTGCACGCTCCAGAGATGTCTTCTTATAGAAGCTGAAGTGTTGCCACATCTTTCGCAGGTTTACTCATTAATCTCCTGTGACTGAGCTACTCAAGGCTGATCAACTGCAGAACAGAAAGCTTACATACCTCCTCAGAATAGATGAGGAAGAAACAAGTTAGAGTAGATTTCCTCCTGCCAATGATAAAACCTAAATGAATCTGAAACAAGTGCCTGTGAAAAACAACATTGGTGCTATATAGATCCCTTAAAGGCACTTCCCCTCCTTGACTTGGGCTCCAATGAGAAATAACTTCATTGACAAACAAGATTCTTGGTTTTAAAAAAATTTCAGTCTTCATGTAGTTGAAACTGAACAAATTACTAGAATCCCTTTTCTCTTTTGAAATTCTCTGCTAGGAATTATTGGACAAAAACACATAAAACTTCAAATATCTAGCTTTGTAAAAGCTAAACAAGATTCTAGACCTATTTGGAATGACTTCTAAACAGTTGCTTGTCTGTCTATGTCCAGCATTCTAAACATTGCTCTGCATACATCTGAATCTAAGTGGATATGCCCAATGCAGGATGCTATTTCAAATCTGTAGCGAGTTTCTCCCTCCTAATACAATCTGGTTTGAACTGCTGATCATCCTATGACAGAACTCTTGAAAACCTGGAAGACATGGTATCTGGTAGGAATGCCAACACACACTGGTGGCATCAATTAAGGCAAGACTTCAAGACATTTGTTTTCCATTTTAACCTGGCATGTTGGGTTGATTGATAACTGATGTAGAAATCTGCCTTTGTTCCAAGAGACACAGTATTACACATTTTCTCATTTTAATAATATTTAAATTTCATATTATTATGCCCAGAAACTGTCAGACACTGATATCTAAAATGTATACAATGCTATATTTGTAATCTACATTTTTAGAGCATCTATCACTGAGGTGTCTCTATTGTGGGCAAGGACTGAGCTGGGATAGAGATAACGTATGTAGAAGGGCTCATAACTGCTCAAGAAAAAACACAGATAAATAACTTTCTTTCAGAGTTTAGCACTCTGCCACTGACTGAGCCTGTCTGTTCCAAGAACAGCTGGTGGGAAAACAAATAAATAAAGTCAAAGATCTCACAACTAGTTTTTTGGGGTTGACAGAACATTTTCTGCAAGTTCCAGTGTAGCTACAACTCCAGGATTTCATCATGAAAATCTTTAAATCTGTACATCAGGAAACAAATAAATGACTGCTTCCAAAAATGAAGTGTCATGTTGAGTTTGATCATTTTGCCTCTAAAAGGTCAAAGCGTAGAACAACACAAAAATGAAGAAAAGATCTGTCCACAAGCACAAGACCATGATAAACATAACTAACCTATGGTTGTTACAGAATTAACTGCTAAACAACATATTTGAGTTTTAGGAGATAGGACTGGGCATGAAATATTTGTGACATTGCCCTCATCTAGAGAAAATGAGAGTTTAAATACCTATTCTTCCTTTGTAAAGTATGACAAAAATATCAATACTAGACATGCTGGAAGACAAGTTTCCACAGGGTTATCCTATGGAATCAATAAATTGAGTACTCTGACAAAATGGGAATTAGGAGATAAATTACTTGAGTCTCCTACCTCAAAAATAGAATCAAATAACTTTTAAGAGGTGCTCTTTTATAAAATATATATATATTTTTTTATTGACTAGGTCCTAGTACACAAGATAAAACTAGAATTTCCGCCCCCATCAGACAGACACTTTAAAACAACATCAATGCTTACCACTTTTTCAAGCAAAATTATAAGATGCTTATTAGCTATGAAGCATTGGGATTCTCTTGCACAACAGAATTATACTGAAACAACTTTTACTGTATAAAGATAAAGCAGCTTTTTCTTTTTTTTCTAAAACACATTCAGTCTGCAAAGAAGCTTTTACAGCAAGACCAGAACTGAGTTATGTAATCCTTGAACACAATTTGATTAATAAAATTGCCTTTGGGATTCCAAATGAACTGTTCTTGCACTAAGTGGGAACTTGTGTCTTGAATCCTTGCTTTTTGTTATGAAAGTGTGTTTTTTTCATTTCCCTTGGTTCTGTTACTTTTATGCAATGTTCCTGTTTTAGTCTAAAAGTTCATATTTTCTTGTCATTTTAAGTACTTACGTTAGTCATCAATATGTCTCAAAAACCCTACGTGCAGGATGTTAATACTCTGTATAGGGATTCAGCTTACTCAGCTTTTCCTGTTTTGGGATCAAACACACCGACAGCATCTTTCCAAAAGGTGTTGAGGACGTACAGATCCCAGTACCTTTAAAGGCTCATATACATTTTCTTAGCTGGTGCTTCAGTGCAGCATAGGGAAATTACACAGGGTTTTGTGTGCCCACAGTGTTTTATTTTATAAAAATAAAAGCAACACAATTTTTATCATAAGCATGGGGAGGTAAAAAATGTTTCCATAGGAGGCTAGCATCAACTGAATAGAACTGTAGGGGACCTCAGGCAAGTCGTTACCAGCCCTGATAGGAGTTGCATGCGCTCAGGTGCAAGCCCTGAATTTGGTAGCATTAGGATCAATTTTTAACATACAACTCCAGCAGTTGTATTGAGGTAGAGATTTTATTTATAGATCTAAGATCAAGTTTGTTTCTTGGATTGTTATGTAATGTGACTCAGGGAGACTGTTGCCTTTACAAAACATATACCTATTTTCTATACAATGATTAAAAGTCTTACAGGTTTTTAACATTTGGTTGCAATAAAGAACAAACCTACCTTATGCATCCATATTCTTCCTTTCCTTATAATATGTGTTAACCTATCAACACACACTCTGTGAAGAGGAAGATAGAAGCCAAGTTCACTTTGTGGAAGTATAATTGATAGTCCATATGTACTTCTGTCCCCATTCCAGTTTCCATCAAAGATTAATGACACAATAATTACTCCTTTTTCTGCCAAGACAAAAAACTTCACATCTATTGCTCCACTCTCTGCATTCCTAAGTATTTCCCCATTCAATGTGTGATTTGCAAGAAAAGTTATTTCTCCATCACTGAGAAGCATCTGTTCCGTCTTTGGGGCCCAGATGTGTCTGACTCTAGGTCCAAGAATATTGTCCCAGTAGGCAAAAGTAGCAGCTAGTAATGGTGAGTCCCCATTCAAGGAGATCTCTGTCTTGGCAACTGCAGGAGAAGGAGGTGGACAGAGAGCTGACATGACTGCTTCTTAACTGTCACATCATAGAGATTTTTTCCATCACCTAGAAAAAAAGAGTTTTAAAAGAGAAAAGAGTGAGATTAGCACTGGTTATTTGTTTGCCCCTTTTCTTCTTCACTAAACAGATGACAGACAAGTTTTGATTTCTACCTTATGCATTTGGGATTCTATTCTAATCTCCGTGTATGGATGAAGTCTACAAGTGCACTTTTGACTTAAGTATAGTTGTGTGCACAAGTCTGTTACATACGAGTGGGATAATAAAATAAATCCTGTGATTGAATTTAAAGACCTAATTGTTGATTAAGGCTCTTTCAATTCCCTATATGAATACACTAAAACCAATTAGTATACACCAAATATGAAGCTACAGCTAATTTTTGAGAAATTACATATATCTTGAATATTTTCATGAAACTCACAAATCAAGTTTATGTGCCAGACACTTAATTTACAGTGTTGATTTCTCATTAGAAAGCTGTAAATCTTGACCATTTTGTGTTAATTTGTAAATGATATCTAGATACCATGACAACAAACAGACAATTTATAAATGCTATTTAATAAATACAGATACCACATACTACTATTAACGGATAGACTTGGTATGATCTTGGCATACGTCGTCTCCCTGCCCCACACACAAACAAAAGAATAATGAAGTTAAAATCACCATTGATTTAGTGAGGAGCCACATCTTCCCCATATAAGAAAGAAAGGTCCTTTCTGAGCAGAAACCTAACACTCAACCACTAAAGCATCTCTCTTGAATCAGTTACATAGTTATCTACATCCTGCAATTTCTGCACATGAGCATCAATTGCTAGTGCTGTTTATAATGTACTGCTGAAGAAATTCCTTCCACAAAAGTCAGATTGTTTTATTCATCTCTGCAAAAAATATTATAAGTGCTTATACACTTAAAAAATAGCACATCTGCTTAAGTATTTTCTGTTCCTGCACTGAGAACCATGCAGGCAGATCTATGAGTCCTTGCAGTTTTCAGGGCATGACTGGAGCTTAAAAGAAGAAAAACATTCATTTAACAAGTTCAAATTCTTAAGACAGAATACATAGCATAACGACAGATGCACTTCTTAGATCAGGGGTAGGCAACCTATGGCACGTGTGCCGAAGGCAGCACACGAGCTGATTTTCAGTGGCACTCACACTGCCCGGGTCCTGGCCACCGGACCGGGGGGGCTCTGCATTTTAATTTAATTTTAAATGAAGCTTCTTAAACATTTTAAAAACCTTATTTACTTTACATACAACAATAGTTCAGTTATATATTATAGACTTATAGAAAGAGACCTTCTAAAAACTTTAAAATGTATGACTGGCACGCAAAACCTTAAATTAGAGTGAATAAATGAAGACTCGGCACATCGCTTCTGAAAGGCTGCCGACCCCTGTCTTAGATACTGGCGAGACACTATTGCCTCACCCCCAAAAGTGTCAAACTGTACATTTCTCAAAACGTTAATAATTTTAGGAAATACAGACTTGTTCATAGTTGGACTACATATACATTTGAGGTGTGCAAAAGATAAAGCATATATTCAACTGCAACATTCCGCATAGAGCCTGCAAGAAAGACACCAGCATATTCCAAAGAGAAAAAACTAAAGACTCTGAAGTTTAAGGTTGCTTGCCACAGAACTTGAATTGGGATTGAGGGGAAACAGGTATTTTTGCTGATACAGACTAACATGGCTACCATTCTGAAACCTGTCACAATGGAGAAGAACTCAAGATAGCAGGATATTAGCAGTACTAATAGAATACTGACAGTACCAACCCTAGGCACTTATTAAATTACTACTGAATTTTTTTCATTCTTAAAGCACAAGACCCTGAGTTATCCGGGTGCTGACTACTGACTCTTTTTCAAACAGCTCTAGTGCTTTCTGGTTTTAGTGACTTATGCAAATTTCAGAATGTTTTTCTCCTTCATCCTACCATCTACAATCAGACCCATTTTATTTAAAACATAACAGTTGGGTGGCTTATTATCATTACACCTGGCTGAAAAAAGATACCTTTTCAAAAAAAAAGTTTTTGACCAGCTCTAGTTGTAATATTTTTGCACTAAGCTGTATATTAAACAAAATTTGAACTTATCCCAAGTGTTTGTCTCTTTCCCCTACCCAATGTTTGTCTACACTTAAAATGCTACAGCAGCACTGCTGTAGCTGCACCACTGTAGTCCTTCAGTTACTCCTGAGGGCATTCTGAACCAAAAAATTAAAAATTCTGCACACAATATTTTGAATTTGTGCAAATTTTATTTATCAAATAAATTTGGAAGCTCCAGCATGGCATTGGGGAGCACAGGCCACTGGCTGCACAGAGGTGGGAGATCATTGTGAAGCTCCCCCACGAGGCACGGATTCAGCAGTGAGGCTGCACCCAACCCTGTCACAGCGCAAGGACTGGGCCTGCCCCAGAAACACCCCAGGACCATGCCCCTCTGTGCCAGGTACACCAGGTGTGGGCAGGGAGGCTCAACAAGGCAGGATCCAAGTGTGGAGGGATTGAGGTGTGGGTTGAGAGGGTTCTGCGTGGGGCAATCTGGATGCGGGCAGCTCAGTGCGGAATCCAGGTGCAGGGGGGATCTGGATGCACAGGGGCTTGCTGGGGGGTTCTGGGTGTAATGGTAATGGGACTCTGCAGGGGTGTCCAGGTGAAGGTGATTGGGGCTCAGCGGGGAAGGATACAGAGCTTGGCAGGGGGGTATGGGTGTGGGGGGGCAAACTGGGGGGGTCCAGATGCAGCTGGTTGGGACTTGGTGGGGTGGGGAATCTGGCTGCGGGTAACTTGTCTGGGTGATCCAGATGCAGGGGGAGTGGGGCTCATGGGTGGGGTTTCTGAGTGTGGGGGGTGACGCTTGGCAGGAGGGTCTGCGTATGAAGGGGTCTGGATGCACGGGAGTTGGGTGAATGGGGGAGCAGCTCCCTGTACAGGGGGGATCTGTCCCCCCCCTAGAGCTGAGGAGTGATGGGTGTAGGAAGTGGGAGTGGGGCGAGTTTGCAGAGCTTCCTTCAGCCAGGGGGGAAAATCTGGGGGTGGATCTGACCCGGCCCCAGATGCTGTGCAAGGGAAGAGGAAGTTCTGTCCTCCCCAGCCCTAGCAGCTGAGCCCGGTGCAGAGTAGGAGCCACCAGCCAGGTCTTCCCCCATCCCTCCTCCTGCTCCACAGTGATTTACCTCTCTGCCGGCTGCCCTGGGCCCCCGAAACATAATGCTGGGGAGAGTCGCATGATGGCTCTTCCCCGCAGAAAGTCATTTTTCTGCGGGGAAGCAAAGAAATCTGAAGTGGGACATAAATTCTGTGGATGCACAGGAGTAATTCAGTGTACACCACCTACGCCAAAGGGGGGGATTCTCCCACTGGTGTAGATAATCCTTCTCCCTAAGAGGGCATGTGAAAAATCCGCAACCCGATTGACATAGTTAAGTCAATTTAATTTTCTAGTGTAGACCAGGCCTCTATCTGTATCTGGGAGTCTCTTCCTCTCTGTATTCCACTGTCTATTTTCATTTATTCTACAATAGTAATTCCATCTCTCCATTCCACTCTCTTTTCCTGTGTTGTGTACACTTTGCTTTTCAAGCTCTCCCTCTAGTTTTCCCAAAAAATCTCCTCTCTTTTCTCATAGCCTCAATCTCTTCATTTTCTAAAAGAGCGTACTGACTTAAATAAAAGCAATTTAAATCACCGATTTTAATAATTCTTTAAATAATCAATCTTAATTCGGTTTTGCGTTTGTATGTACTTTCTTTAGGAAAATAACTATTTAGTCTCACTGGCTGGTAACTATTAAGCCATGTTGATTAAAAACTAAATATAGCCTTTGCACTAAACTTGGTGCTTCTTAATGTTAACCAGGATACGCTGTATTTATACACATTTTAAGTTATTTAACATAACTTACATTTATTCATAGTCTTTTATACATTATTTTGTTAGAAAATGGTGTATGATGCATTTTTTACTCGATTAAATTCTCTACTTTTATGGAAACTCAAATCCATTAATTTTTTTAAATGTTGTTTTTGTGCATTTTAAGTGTACCGGATACATAAGAAAAAAGTTTATCAAAACATATTTTGCATTTAAAACTAACATTTATTAAACAAAGGAATTATTAGCTGCTGTTGGTGAACTGAATTGATTGTTTCTGTTCATCATGTCCTTCAAGATTTTAGAACTATTAGATCTCATCCTTATACCCAATTTTTATTCATAGACTGGAAAACAAGTTTTCTTGCTTCTTCAACTCACAATTGGTTTCTTAATAAACTCGTCATTGAACTACTTGAATGAACTGAAATGAAGAAAATAGTCTCTCTGTACCAGCAGAAAAGGCTAATGCTGTCAAAAAACTGGCGAGTGACTTTTGCCAGTTCTGTGGTTTGACTTTCTTTAAAGCACAGCAGCAAACACATACTGCTTAATATTATTTTTTGTATTTAATTTAAATTTTAATAGATTGTAACTAGCTTAGGCCTTAACATAGGTTGTCAATTTCAAATTTAACTTTAAATTAAATAGAATTTAGATTTAACTAAAAACCAGTTTATTTATTTTTTAAAGGCGTGATGCTACTGAGTTATCCAGCCTCTCCATTCCAACAGGTTATTTTGACTGGAGTGAAATCTGCAAAGCTCAAGCAAATGCTTACCCAACAAGGAGAAGAAAGGCACCACAGCACAAAAGGAGGAAGAGGTGTGAAAGTTCTTACTGCACAGCCTGTGAGACAGATCCCTCCTTACCCCAGGCTCAAAACCACAGAAACATGAAAACATAAGCTACCAAAAGCAACGACACACTTTACTGGAGAAAGCAACAGAGGGTCCTGTGGCACCTTTGAGACTAAGGGTATGTCTACACTTACTGGGTAGTTCGACGGCTGGCAATCGAAGTTCCGGGTTCGATTTATCGCGTCTGGTCTGGACGCGATAAGTCGAACCAGGAAGTGCTCGCCGTCGACTGCGGTACTCCAGCTAGACGAGAGGAGTACCGCGGAGTCGACGGGGGAGCCTGCCTGCCGCGTGTGGACCGCGTCTGAACCGCGGTAAGTTCGAAGTAAGGTATGTCGAATTCAGCTACGTTATTCACGTAGCTGAATTTGCGTACCTTACTTCGACTTGGGGGGTAAGTGTAGACCAAGCCTAACAGAAGTATTGGGAGCATAAGCTTTGGTGGGTAAGAACCTTCACTTGCATCTGAAGAAGTGAGGTTCTTACCCACGAAAGCTTATGCTCCCAATACTTCTGTTAGTCCCAAAGGTGCCACAGGACCCTCTGTTGCTTTTTACAGATTCAGACTAACACGGCTACCCCTCTGATACTTTACTGGAGAAGGCGGCTACTCACTGCACTGGGGCGGTGGGTAATGGCCACAGGTGGGCACCAGAGCCATGCCCCACTAATACCACCACCCACCTCTTGTGTGTCTCACTTCACCTCTAGAGCTCGATGCACTTTGCAAAGGAGGCCACGATCACAACCCCTGCTTCTCAGGTGGAGAAACTGAGGCACGGGCGGGTGAAGTGAGGTGCACAAGGTCACCCACCAGGTTAGTGGCCGAGCTAGGGACAGATCCCAGATCTCCCGTGCCCCAGTCCAGGGCTTGGTCCACCGAGCCCACACAGCCACCCCCACCTCCCCGTATACGGCATCCCCTCCTCCTTCATAACCACCCCTCCCCCCCGGCTCGCGGGTGCAGCCCCAGCTGCGCGATGAGCCACCTGGCTCCAGGCCCCGCCCGCTAGGAGACTCCCTCTGTCCCTGACGGCAACGGCCACAACGTCCCCCCTCAACCGTTGCGGGGGAGACTCGCCCCAGTTACTCGCCCGCCCAGCCCCCAGCCTCACCTGCGCAGCCGCACTCCCCGCAGCCGCCCGCCGCGCGCCGGAACCGCCACACTGTACGGACAAACAAGCCACGCTCGCCGCCGGCCTCAGACAAATCCCCTCGCGCATGCGCCTCCGCCCCCCTTCTCCCTCCGCGGCCCCGTCTGTCTCGCTGGCGCCCCCGCGCCGGCAGCAGTGGCGCGCGGGCTCCCCCCGCTCCCGCACGCGCAGGCGCGCGAGGCGGGGAGAGAAGCCAGTCCGTGCACGTGAGCGTGCTGCTGCTGCTGCTGCTGGCACGGCCCAGTGGCAATATACGTGTACGGAGGCGTCTGTGGCTGCAGGGTCATGGGGGAAGGAGGAGGTTACGGTGTAGCACTGATTTTTGCAACCCCATAACTTCCAGCCCCCGCTCACCGTAAAAACATGGTAGCTCATCATTCACTAAAAAGAACGGGTACTTTTTACTTGCCTCCTGGATTTTGGCATTAGGGGTCAGGTCACATTTTCAAGCTTTTCTCTCTGTGCCTTTTTCTTTTTTCTAAAATGAAAATCCCATGTAATCCTATGCAGCACCTCACACAAGGAACTTGTTTTAGGTCTTTATGCCCTACTATGACACAAATACAATAACAGGGTCAATACCAAGCATTCAAAACTCATAATTACCTTAAAAACAAATTTTTATTTGATGTCTCCGTTTTGACCTGTCAAGATTAAGGACTCCAAGCATCCATAACCATGAAGGATAGATACTTTCTTTTCAAGTACAAGATGATAGGCCCTTGTAATCACATAACTCCAGCAGCTGAATCTGTAAAAAACAAAAACAAACAAAAAATGCACACCAAATATTACAAGAGTTGGCAATAGGGAAAACCGGACACCTCATCACCCTATTTGGCAACACTATGATGCACTCCCTGGCCTGAAGATCTTACAGTCTGACCAGACAAGACAAACGGTCCCATTTTACAAATGAGACACAGAGAGGTTACAGCTCTATTGCTAAAAACTGCCCAGGAGTCTGGACATTTAGTGAAATTCTTTGTGGGGTCCTGGCTTAAGTGACTTGCCAATGTGCACAAAGGAAATTTAAGGCAAAAGCATGGAACTGAATTTCAGTCTCCTGTGTCCTAGGCCACTGCTGTAAGCACAAAATCATCCTTCCTCTCAAAATTCCTTTAAAATTAAAGAATATAATTCCAGTTTCATAAAGATTTAATACACTACGGTGTTATGCAACTTTTTGCCATACCATGGCAAGAAGCAAATCTCTAAACATACGCTTACTGTGCTTTTGTCACAATATAGCCCTTTTCTAGTTTGTTTTTAGTAGTTGACATGGTTTTTATTTTTTACAAAATATCACTTAGAAAAGCCTATATACATTTTTATTTTATATCAATTATGTACATTTATTGGATTATGCTATTGTTTTGTAAAAGGTAAAATTTCAATTTAAAAATCATTCAAAAATGTGTACAACTGTTCTTTGAACAGTGGAACAAATCGCAAAACTAGCTTGTAGTGATAAAAGCTGTTGAAATTTAAATTGTCAGGCTAAAAATCAGGCATCAAACTCAAAGCTAACATAAACAGGCTCAGCAATTTTGACTACAGTGCAATCCTTACATCAAGACTAAATTTGACCTTATATATATTTTTTAAATTCATTATGCTAGTTACCAACATACTAAATTATTAAAATTGAAAGGATGATATATTTATTTGTTCATTATTTATGCGGTTTACTGTTTACATTTCACTCCTTTTGGACAGCAAAAGTAGATTGGGTAAACCCTACCTCTGATGTATGAGCCAAACAGTAAGCTCTATAGGTTAGAAGCTTAATAGGAAATTTGAATCTAGCAGCATACAGCCTTAGTGAAGCAGCAGAGCGGTAAAGAGGGTACGGTATTGGAGGAAAAAGTTAGGGGACCTCAGCTCTATCTATTGTTTCTGACATTGAGTTGCTATGTGACCTTGGGCAAGTAATTTAACATCTCTGTGCCTCAGTTTCCCCATCAGTAAAAGGGGAGCCTACTTTGAAAGCTATGAATAAAAATTATATGAGTGTTAAACATTATTATTAAAATAAGTAGACATGTTTCCTTTTAATATATATTGCTGTTTGGTTGCCATGCTGAGGTATCTGCAAGGGCGATTCATTTCTGTGTTAGCAACTTTGCCCTTTGCCTTTTTGTTTTTCTGTCAACTCTTTGGGTTTTCTTCATGTAGCCAACAAAATAGGAATCTCATTTTACATGATCTGAAAAGACTAAAAATATGCATGCAGGTGCATTTTGCAGAGACAGTAGAGAAGTAGTGATTGACAGATTGCTATGTAAGCAGATATTTTTCCAAGCAGAAAATACAGCTGGTGGCAAAGCTTAACCCTGCATTTCTATGTCAAAGTTAATTATAAAGAGTACAAAACAAAGCAAAAAGGAGGAGGTGGTTCAGTTCAGGCTGTGGGCCAGGGCTTAAGCAAACAACCAACCAAACACCTTTTTTAAAACATTTGCAATGTCTCTTCTCCTGAATAATGTCATTTTTAAATAAAGGGAGGTTTGGGTGAATGGAAAAAGAGACTGAATAATATTTACTAGAACTTCACTGTGAGGACTGGTGGAAAAGCAGGCATTTTCATTATCTCGTCTTTCCATTTATGGTGTGAGATAGGGGTAGATATACTAAGTGATTTGACCTGGAAACACAAAAATGGATTTCTCCATTTCTCCTCAGGTTCCATACCCTGGGACATATTCATCCGACATGTAACTCTACTGAAGTTAGTAATGAAAATGGATATGAATTCAGGGATGAATTTGCCGCAATATGCTCACTATCACAGCAGTGCACATAGAACTCTATATTATTAATAGGCTCAATAAAGAAAGAAAACTTCTGCTTGAAGTTTAAGATTAAAATTTTTAAAATTAAAAAGAAAATTAAAAGGAAATTAAGAGCAGTACACTACGACCTACAGCGATATGTTGTGGGGTAAATTGTTTACCCAGCATGAATGTGAAGTGGTCAGATCTATGGGGACATGAAAGCTTACTAGTAAAGCATTAATTCCACACCCCCAAATTTTGCGCTTAGCTTCTTATTATGCACATCTATGTTCTCAAAGATGGTGCCATAGTGATTTTCTTTGGTTTCCAATATTGCCTTATACTGCAGACCACTCCCCAACTCCTCTGAGTGGTACAATTACTGGAGCTGATTGACAAAATTGCCATTACCAGAGTAATGAGCCAACAAGTCCATCGACCCTGTATTTCAGTGGTTCTCAAACTTTTCTACTGGTGACCCCTTTCACATAGCAAGGCTCTGTGTGCGACCCCCCTTTTAAATTAGAAACACTTCTTTACATATTTAACACCATTATAAATGCTAGAGGCAAAGTGGGGTTTGGGGTGGAGGCTGACAGCTCGCAACTCCCCATGTAATAATCTTGTGACCCCCTGAGGGGTCCTGACCCTCAGTTTGAGAACCCCTGTTGTATTTGCCTCTTTTAATGGAGAGATGAGAGATACCAGTTGAAGAGCCCTGGAAATTGAATCCCTCTATTTCCCAAAAAAATATCACAGGCAGCAACAGCATATGTTTCCCACAGTGCCCTCACAAGTGGGGTTTAGACTGAGAGCAGTTTAGGGTTAGGCAATTATGACAATTTGGAAAAGCAGTGCCTCTATTACTGTTGCCAGTCATCAATCACAGTGGTATTGGCACAAATGGAAATATGAAGATAAAACAAAGAAACCGTGAGGGTGTTAAAGTTGCTGAACATCTATCAACAGCATTTAGACCATGGCTGTTAAATATATATTATTTTTAACCAGGAAGGAGCAAAGGCGAGGTGAACAGAGTGCTCATTGTAGGTCTCAGAGGTGTGATTTCTCAGATCTCAGCAAGACAGTAACTGCTAAGG